TTCAAAGATAAATAACTGAATACAACAAACTTTCACACTCGCACCTCTAGGGTAACCTCTCTTATTGCCTTCAGAACAAAATGGTCATGTCCCTCGAAAGTAGGGGCATTTTAGGAAAGTCCCTCGAATAAAAGATCATAGTCCCTCGACGACCCTTTCAACGTTTCCTTTCGATAAATGATCTAGTCCCTTACGAAATTGCTAAAGCGTCCTTACAAGTTGCCTTCGATGATCGTACGATGACCCTACGCATATCCCTTCACATCCAACGATAGGGCTTCCTACTAACTAATGGTATGGATAGAACTATCTAAAGGAGAAGGAAAAGTATAAGAACAACCTTGAGTGGATAGAATTGTTAATCGCTTGCTCACAAATTTCTCAAAAAACAAAACATTTCACAAATACTTTTAAAATATTTTCAAACACTTTATATACACTCTTGAGGACCGATACAAGAGTTATTACAAAGTTCTCCTTACATTGGAAAACTTTCTAAATATTTTCAAACACACACACAAAAAGCAAATTTTTAAAAGTGATCTAAGCGATTAAGAGCTCGTTGATAACTATGGATGAAAAGGGTACTAACACCTTCCCTTTTCATAACATACCCCCCGAACTCAAAATCCTTAGAGGTATTTCCTATTCTTTTCACCCTTTCCTTATTGGATAAAAGAAAAGTCAGTGGCGACTCTAGTTATCCACAACAGTTGTCATAAAATGCAAAAACAAGTCAGTTCTCCCACCGTATTACACTAAGGCTCAACAAGATTGCAATGTGAGATTTCTCTATCATGGTCGTATTTTCCTTTTCCGTTAACACAACATCCATGGTCATCGCTCCCTTCAACGCTTCAAAACAACCCTTCTGAACTAGTTGGGCTTTCATCTTCAAGCACCACAAGCCGGAATCGTCCACTTCAGTGAACTTTTCAATCTCATACTTTGTTGAAGGAATCTTCTTCATGCTCACCGCGCCAATTTGTTGTGAAAAATGATACCTTTGAAACAAGTTATAAATTGTTTCTTTATGATCAAGAAATAATTAGGGTAGAAAAGATGGAAGTACACGAAGAACAACAAGGATTGGTAATTAACTGTTATTCTTTACTTTTTCTTTAAATTAGATTATAAGTACACAAGAATAACAAATAACCCTCTCACTCTAAATTAGGATTTGCAGTATGCATTGATGAGAGACTAGTATACTATTTATAATAAATCTAACATACTAAACTAATGGGCTTTTCACAAATACTCATTACAAGCTAAATTAGGGTACAAGATAACTTAAACAATTTGACATAATAAACAAGCCCAAGTCGAAATACTAACAATTCTAGCATTTCGACACCCACATACTATAACACACTTTGACTACAATATGTAGGTCTTCGACACCAGCATGTGAACATACTTCAATGACATGCATAAATCTTGTCGAACCAGAAGCTAATCTTCGATCCAATAGAGTTTGATCCAATATCTCACAGTTTTTCACACTTCAAATGCCACCACTTAATATGTGGAGTTCATATGTGATTTCTTCTCTTCACACTCCTCTTGACTCTTACATCCACAAATAATAATCTATGTCGGGTTGTCAAGCTTTCTCTTGGTATAACTTTACATTCCAAACAAATATTTCTATTTAACTTTCTAATAAGAAAGAAAGAAACCTATATGAAAACTTGTCATCTCACTCTTATATGTAATAAGATATCATCTCTTTTTCTAAAATAGGTATTAGTTATAGTAAGATCAAAAGTCAACGATAATTCTAGTATGAATTTATCCTATGCATTTACCTCCTCGAGACCAATAACCACATAGACGCCCTCAAATCCTCTTGACATGCTCTCTACATGTCCATTTAGATCCTCTTCTAAAAAAATATTTTCTCCTTGAAGTATATCTTGAAATAAGCCTTCTAAATTTTCCCAAAATTTTAAAGTAAGGACTTATGCTAACCTAACCTGAGGTGTATAATCATTAATAATTTTTAAGACGTTTTATTTAAGAGATTTTATCCTGACAAACCCACCTTGATCTGGTATCTCCACATATTTTCAAAATGGCGCAAATGTCAATATCAAAATTTAACCAAAAAAGAGTGAACGAACAATTGGATAGTGCAATAGAAAAATCTGGTATGAATAAAAAAATGATAGTGTATTTTAAAAAGTCTGGTATTTTTATCGGTTTTTAGAAAAATGAATTTAACACTCTAGATTTTTTGATAAATCCGATATGTTTTATAATTTTCTGGATTTATGAAAAATATGATAGTTCATTTCTGATAGACAAAAAAATGAAATTAACATGCGATTCGACCAATAATCCAGTGACCTAGTAATTCAGCTGATAAACCAATAATTCACTATCACTGATTTGATGATCGATCCATTTTTTAAAATATTAAATGGAGAGAATATTGAGATTATATATATATATATATATATATATATATATATATATATATATATATATATATATATATATATATATATATATATATATATAATGCACACCTATGTAGGTGTGTATTAACATCATACACCTTTAATATATTTTTAAGTAACACCCATCACTTTATTTTTTATTTTTTTTATTTTTCAGATTTCTATTATTTTAAAGAAATTTAAATCCTTATTATTATTTTAATAATTTAAAGGTGTCTATAGCCACAGTGTGCCTAAAGGTGGATCAAGTAGAGGGTGGAGGAATAAAATCTTTTTGTTTCTCTATAATATAAGTCTATGATTTGATCCCCTACTCTCTTTTTTTCATATCCACAATATCAAAATATTCGACATTGATTTACACAATTAATCAAGAGATAACCTAAAGAAAAGAATCAATACAATATGTATTCATTTTCAGAAAAGATTATATACAGATTAACTATTTAAGCAGCCAAAATTGTCCCCTCCATCACCACCCGGAATTTCATCAAGATCGGTTGCAAATAGGGGTGTGCAAAAAATCCAATAACTATAAACCAAATTCCTATCCAAATTTTAAAACCTAATCCAATACTATAATTTAAAACTGGAGGTCTATTTAATAAAATAAAATAAAAACCGGTACCCATATTTTAAATTGGTTTAGCTTATCGGTTACCATATTATTTCAGATTCAACACTCTTTCTCTTTCTCCCTACCGCAATGCACAATACATGTTCTTCTTCTTTCCATTACTTCCAACGAAATTTATCGTATCATTCTTCCTAACCCTTTAACTTCAAAACCCTAATCCTAAAATCTAATGAAATTGACTAAATGACTCTCAAATTCAACGAAATCGTCCAAATTACAATTATGGGTTTATTAAAATAGCTATATAATCGACAAAATAATTTTTTAAATCCAACCTTCGAAAACACCTTCAAGCCCTCTTCAGTGATTCAGGTAAGTAAATTTCTTCACTAAAGCTTTTTAGTTTCATCTGAACTTTTTTCTTTCAAAATCAATCGGTTTTAGTAGTAGTATCAGTTTAGAGTTATTTATACTAGATTTCCATCATGAGTTCAAGACAGAGTTGTGAGTGTTGGTTTCAAGTGGCCAAATGTTTTTGAGAGTTGGTTATATTATGTTTCTGATGCTGATCCTTGCTGGCATTAATGCATCTAAGAGTGTTCATTGAAGTTTCATCTCTTATCTTGTATAGTTGTAGAATTTTGGCTAGTAGCTGGTAAGGCATTGACTTCATATTTTACTGTCAGATGTTCTTGCTTGTGTTTGTGTTTGAGTGGTCAAAAGACTTCTAGGTTATAAGTTGGGTCTAATGCAAGTTTGGTAAGAGATGTCATAGAATAAGTTCATTGATTGGATTCATCAATGTGGAGTTAATATCTTGTTCTGGTGTATTTTTGTTTTGTATTTCAATTTGTTTGAACTATCTTGTATTTGGACATGTTTTTATCTTGCACTCCTTATATTTTATTAGTGTATGCTTTAATTTATCATTTATTTTATATTTAATATATATATCGAGTAATTATGTTGGATTGTTTATATTTCAAAAACACTTGTTTCAAATCGGTTTTGATTTTTTCAATGGTTGCTAATCTGGGTTTTCCCACTATTTTGTTTTACCGTTGAAATCCTTAATTTTTATTTATATGAGGTTTTTCCATCATGTTTTATCTTTTTTTTCAATGGATATAGTTTTCTGATTTGTTGTTTTATACCTTGTCTATAATTTGTGCATTAACATGAACTGTATTGTATGGCTCAATTGATAACACTAATTAAATTGTATATATCTAAGTGTATAAAGACATTATGTAGTTTATTTTTAGAATAACGGTGGAATTTGGTTTTTGATAAATATTATTTGTACTATTTTAATCCCCTTGTGTTGTGTCTCTACAAGTCGGTTCCAAGAATTGGTTACCAGTCCACCCTTTTGGCATTTGGTGCTAGTGAGCGAGTGTAAAATATTACTTATAAGGGCATTAAGATAATATAATAATAATATGAAAATAGTATTAGATGTATGCATATAAAATTCTACATCTACTTCTTTACAAGGGCTCACTAACGATAGCGAATAACCAAAGGGTGAATTCTTTAGCAAAATGGCTACTCTCGGGAAAATAACAACACAAGTAAAATGAACATCTTTTAAAGACCAAATTGTTTATATTGGAGTGAAATGAAGCTCGTGATATATGTGTAGGTGAAACATATAGATAATAAGCAGAAGAAACATGCACCAAGGATACTTATAAGGCGTCATGTTGCTCGAATCGAAGGTGACCTTTATTTTTAAGTTTTTATTATTATTATTAATTGCAAGAGTTTTACATTTCATTCCTCTATAAGAAGTTGTAATGATGGCATACACAATTTAGTGTTGAATTATATTTATAATAAATTAAAGGATCTTGAATACACTTTGATTTCTATTTATAGACCAATATCTAAAATATTTGTGATTTTATCTTGTTCCTCTAATATGAAATTATTTTCCTATATTTAACAGAATCAAGATGACTAATGTTAGTTACTTGCCAATATATGCAACATCCGAGAATAGGGTTTCAACCCCTCCACCTATCGTCTCTAATGAAATGCCACCTCCTCACACTAAGAAGTGAAATAATCGTTCAGAGGCTTGGAATCATTTCATTATATCGTCAGAAGAAGAACAAAAAGCTTCGTGCAAGTACTGTGACACAAAAACTAAGTATAATAATGGAACTAGTTCCATGCATACTCATTTATCGAGATGCCTTGTTTACAAGAGACAACTGACATTATCTTCTATGACAAGTGATGAAGAACATGTTGGCTCTCCTTTAATTGTCAAGTTTGACCAAGAAGCTATTCGAAGAGCAATGGTTAAAATGTTCATTAACATGGAGATTCCTTTTCAGAAGGTTTAACATGAGTCTTTTCATAAATTTATGATTCCCGCTTCACCAAGATTTCAGATTTGTTTGCGCACAACATTGGCACGTGATGTCTTGAAACTATGGGACACAGAAAAAAGGATTTTGAAAAACTTTCTCTCTCTGAATTGTGGAAGAGTTTGTCTCACCACTGATATGTGGACTTCTTGTCAAAAGTTGAGCTATATGTGTGTGACGACCCATTTCATTGACAATAATTGGAACTTACAATAGAAGATCTTAATTTTTTGTCAAGTCACAAGTCATACAGGGTGATTCCATTTGTGAAACAATAGAGATGTGTTTGAACAGTTGGGGTTTAATCGCATGCTTAGTTTGACAGTGGATAATGCTTCATCTAATGATGTTGGGGTTGAACGTATCAAGAGAAGGCTTTTGTCTAAGAATAGTTTAGTTATGAGTGGAAACCATTTTCATATGAGGTGTTGCGCACACATATTGAATTTAATTATGAAGGAAGGTGTGATACGGTGGGAGAACTGACTTGAGGGTTTTGCGTTTTATCCAAAATGTTCGGTTAGCAAGAGTCGCCACCGACTTTTCTTTTATCCAAAAGGAAAGGTGAAAAAGCACAGGAAAGACCTTTGAGATGTTTGCTTGAGTTCGGGGGGTAGATTATGAAAAGGGAAGGTATTATCACCCTTTTCATCCATGGTTTTCCATTGGCTCTTAGTTACTTGCTAGATCACTTGCTTTTGTTTGTTTGAAATTGTGTTTGGTGTGGTTTTGAAAGTATTTTATAAAAGAGACCATTCGTTTAGGAAATCTTTGTAATGATTCTTGTTCGTAAGAATGTATACAAAGATGTTTGTCTTTTTGAAAATGTTTTCAATGTTTGGAAGATGTTTTGAAATATGTGTTTGTTTTTAAAAAATAGCAAGGATAGTTGTTTGAAGATAGAGCAAGTAACTAGAAGCAATCTACCTACTCAAAAGTCTTTCTTGTGCATTTTCTATTCCTTTGACATTGTTGTCTTACCATTTGTTTGGTAAGCAGCCCTATCTTTGGATGTGAACGAGACGGGTGTGGGTCATCGTATAGCCATGATAAGCAATGTTGCAAAGTATCTTAGCATTTTTGAGGGACCAAGATCATTTTTGTAAGGCAACCTTGAATAGCGTCATCGAGGGACTATGATCTTATACTTGTTTGTTTTGCCAAGATACTTCGCATGCGTAATATGGCCATTTTTGTTTTTAGGCAACCAAGTGGAGAAACCCTAAGGATGCTTGTGTGCAAGTGTATCATTTTAATGCTTTGATTTTATCTTGTATTTAGGGTTTTCTATTTTTTCTTTGTTTTGATCTTATCATACAAACCCTAATTACTAATCATGGCATGTAAAGCGGTGAATTGCGTAATATAAATATTACTAAGCTATTACAACAATTTTATGGGAGGGGGGAATACAAATTTGAATGGGGATTTGCAAGAATGTAAACCTAAATAAATTATTACAACCAAATCGAATTTGTACAAATTAGAATAAATAAAATACAATATTTAAAGATGCAATATAATGTACATGTAAGAAAAGATTTTTGTTTTGTTTTTTTCATGTGAAAAGAAAATTTTAACCTAATCCTAAAAATAAAGAAATTAATTCTTAGTAAAGGTTAATCCTAATTTCTATTTTAAAAGAAAATGAAGTTCATATGTATCATTTTTTATGTATTTTTTATATTAAAATAATAAATAATATTGTATAAAAATATAAAGTTTTTATATATGCAAAAATAAATATTTATAAGTATGGAATGAAAAATAAATAAATAAATTAAACTAAATATATTTTAATTATATTTTACAAGTTTATTAAGAAAATATATGATATATATTAAAAATAAAATATATTTTTATGTGAAAAATAAACTAAAATAAAATAAAAATGCAATATTATGACATTTATATTTTTAGGATTTTTATACATTAAAGAAAATATTAATGAAAACAAAAATAAACTAAATAAAAATGTATGGAAAATAATGGGTCAGGGGGGTATAGTAAGCAGACTAGAGACAGCGTGTTAGCAAAAAAGACCATGGCCCAAATATGGAGGCCCAACCTGCAAAAAGCAAAAACTGAAGAAAAAAATGGGAAAAGTGTGAAAAACAAAAGTAGCGTCCAGGTTCGAACCCAGGACATGGGTCTCACCAGCGCACTACTTTGCCATTGGGGTGGCTATACATCCATTGTTTTAAGTGAAACGAAAATAATATAACATGAAACAAGTCCTTGCTATGTACTTCATCTTCTTCCTCAAGCTTGGCCAGATGTCCTGTAACTCTCTCAATCTTCCATGAAAATGAAAACTCATAACATGAAAGTTATAGTATTTGATCTCACGATTCTAACCTTATAAGTTATGTAAGCTATCAATCAAAGATCGGAGAGAATTTTAAAAGCCCTAAATTTAAACCTAATATTTTCAGAAACTTCAAGTTCTAAATTCTCTCAGCTCAGGCCAAATAAATGTAAGATAAAGATATGTACAGTTTCGTTGCAATGAGGACTACATTATTTATTCACAAATTGTGGCCAATGGTTGCCTGTACAAGGAGATAGAAGTTGAGATTTTACCTCCTTCAGTTTAAATCGTGGATGGAACTGGAGTGAGTTTGATGGAGGCCTGATGCTTGCTTGAGCTTCCTTGAACTTCCCTGAATGTATTCCAACCCTTGCCTTGCTCTGAAAGTGCCTGAAACTCCTTGACCAAGTCAACTTGCAAGCTTTGAAAACAAAAATGGAAGATGATGGAGAAGGGGTTAAAGTATAGGGATGAAGGTCTGGATTAGTTGGATATCAAGTAGGTAAGGTGTTTTGATGATAAAAACTGGAAACGCATGAGCCAAATGAGAGATTAGTATGCTTATGCCAAAAACTGCAAGTTTGACAATTTTCTGGTGTTTTTGAGCTTGGGAGTGTTTCAGGCCTTAACCAATCGTGTTATGTGTTGCATTATGTTTGTATATTAGTATGGAATTAATTTCTAGCCAGCCCTCCAACAAATGTGCAAGTTCTAGCCTTTTGGCAACCTTTCTTGCTTTTGAAGCAAAGCAAAGGGACAAGGCTTGCCATGCTTGTACTTGCTTTCTTAGGGTTGGTATAAACTTGTACAACTTGCTTTAGGCCTGTAAGACTTGTATGTGCAATGGAGACAGGTTCAATGCTCAAGAATTGGAAAGTGGCAAAAGTTGAGCTTTTTCAAAATGGCAATGGTTACTTTATGCCATTTATGAAATTACAACTTGGATAATGGCTCTAGGGCATGGATCAAAGCTTTGTCAACTGAGTAAGCATTAAATTAAGGATTAAGGGACAAGTTTGGGACCTGTAAATCATGGATTAGGCAGCATAGGTACTGACTGGAACTTTGTTCTTCATGAAATGGCTTGGACAAAAAGTGAGAAAATGCCAACTTCATCTCTTCGATTCTCCCTACTCAAAAATGATCTTGAGGAGTTCTTGGACATTTTGGAAATATTGCAATGTGCTTTATAACTCATCTTTGAAATTCATTTTGAGATACCTCTTGGAACTAGGTGAAAAATTTCCATGAAGTTGGGTCCAAAACCTGCCTAAATTAGGGCAAAATTTCACTAAGTTATTTAGTTCATGAGCATGTATTCATAAATTTATATCTTGAGATCCAAGCATCTTTAGGGAAAAGTGTATGAAGCAAAGTTGTATATTTCATGAAGGTCTACAACTTTCATTTTGGGAACTTTCTTTGAATCATTATGCATCAAGGTGAAAAAATGGCCTAAAGTTGAGAAAAAATAAGAAATGTTTTATACTTAGAAAATTTTCTAAGTTAAGAAAAATTTCAAATTCAAACCCTAATCTTCAAACTTGGATTTCTTGATGAAAAAGTTTCACATTTTGACATATTTTGATGAATTATGACCCTTGCCCCTTGATTTTGACCAAAAAGTCAAAGTTTGACTTTTTTGTGTACAGTTGACTTTTGATCAGTTGACTGCAAATTTCATTTGTCAATCCAATGAAATTGAAATGTTTTGAGTCATGTAATTAGGTAAAGATGATGCAATTGACTCCTTGAAACCATGCTTTAACTCAATTGGTCATTTGCTAGGTTAAAAATCATAAATTGCCCTTCCTTAGCCAAAACCCTAATTTTGACCATTTTGCCCTTTTGGTGATTTGATCAAATTTCTTGAGGAATTGTGATCCAAACTTGACAATATGATACATATGAGCCTAAAATGTTGATTTGGATCAAAAATTATGAAGTTTGACTGTAAATTGGTCATTGTTGACTTTTTCCCTAATACAACTGATTTTTAGGTCAACTGTCCAATTGACTGATCAAAAATGTGGTTCAAGGCTTGAAACTTGTCATGAGTAATATTAGGGGTCCATAATGATGTTTGAAAGTCATATGAAGCATTGATAGTCCAAAAATCCTTGTGCAATCTCAAACCCTAATTTTGGGTCATCAGTGCATGATGAGATGTCTTGAGCTGACCAAACCCTAATCCAGTCTTGAGTCAAAGAAATCTTGTGAGAAAAGTCTTGATAAATGAGAGGGAAAATTTTGGGGTACAAGAGCTGCCCCTGTTCAATCCTCTTAAACCTGAAGAGTTAGATTGGCAAGCTTTGTCATTCGTGACTCGAAGGTGAAAGATGATTGGACACTAGAGTGCCCATAAATTTGCACTCGACAATGTGTAGTTGAGGGAATGGGCTTAAAGATGACATTTGGAGAAGTGATAGAATCCTGTTGGACATGGGCTTCTAGATGCCATCCAAGAATGTTTTTTGAATTGTAAATTGTAAGCTTAAAGAATGAGTATCAGAATGGCATCTGTGTCTGGAGCGTATCTGTGTTGTATCTGAAGGTTGAATCTAAATGAGTAACAGAAGGGCATCCGTGTCTGGAGCATATCCGTACTGTATCTGAACTTGACATCTGAATGAGTATCAGAATGGCATCTATGTCTGGAGCGTATCCATACTGTATCTGAACCTTGAAATCTGAATGAGTATCAGAATGGCATCCGTGTCTAAAGCGTATCCGTACTGTATTTGAAAGTTGAATCTGAATGAGTATCAGAATGGCATCCGTGTCTGGAGCGTATCTGAATTGTATCTGAAGTCTGAATCTGAATGAGTATCAGAATGGTATCCGTGTCTAGAGCATATCCGTATTGTATCTGAAGTCTGAATCTGAATGAGTATCAGAATGGCAT